CGGGAAGCGCCGGGCCCGGGGCAGGGGCAGCGCCCGCGGGGGGAGGCTGCGGACCCCGGCACCCCGGACTGCGCTGCTGGCAGCGCCTCCCGAGCCCCGGCGAAGGCAGCCAGGAGGGTTCTCCGGTGGTGTCCGGTCCCAGCGGTGTCCGGCCCCCGGTGGTGTTCGGTCCCAGCGGTGTCCGGTCCCAGCGGTGTCCGGTCCCAGCGGTGCCCGCTGTCGCTCGGCGCGGTGCCCGCTCTCAGCACGTGTCCCCAGCGGGCAGGGCCGGTGCTGATCTCCCGTGCCAGCTCGGCCCAGGGAGTTGGGGCTGCCACACGAGCTCCAGCCTCAGCACGGGGCTCGTCCGTGCATCCGAGCGGAATCCCACGCGGCCTCCGTGTCCTCATCCGCCCTTGCCCTCCTGAGAGAGGCCGGGCTGCAGCTCTGTGGTACCCACAGCAGGCTCTGCCCACCTTGCAGTGCCCAGCACGGCCCTCGTTCAGCTCCTGCCCCAGCGCTGCGGGAAATGCGGCTGACTCTCTGGGCAGACTGTCCAAGCTGGCTTTATTCCTAAAGAGCTGTTGGTACACACCAGCTCCCAGAAATGTCAGTATCACACCTGGCTTACCTGTCCCTGTGTTTTCAGAGAGACAAAAGGAAAAACGGGTCTTTGAGACTGGCAGATGGGGAAGAGCTGGTGAGACCTGGAGAAACTCACCTGGGGAATGATATTAAAAGGAGAATATTAATCTCTCCCATAGCAGTCAGCAAGGAGAAGGCTTAGGCAGGGGCAAAAACCGCTAGGTAGGTTCACAACACATTGACTTCTGGTCCCGACTCCCAGTTTTTTGGGAGGAATGGTCACAGATCCATTGGTGCTGTTGTGGTGCAGCCCTCGGGCGAGGAAGTTATCCTGATGTGACTTTCCATTTCAGCTAAAACTGTTGAGGAAGGAATCAAACATGCAAGACCAGCTGCACGGAGATTAGCCCTTTGATTTGCTGCAGATGACTTGCTCTGCTTATCACAGCTTATCACAACCGTGGGATGTTTTTTCCCATGCTTTTTGCAGAGATTGGCTCACGAAGGCAAGAAGCTGGGCTGGCATCAGCTCTGTGTGTGGTAGCAGCTTCCTGGCCAGGGACCCAGGCACAGTGAAAATGTCATCTGTGAAAAAGAGGGAATGCTTCAAAGTCAGATGCCGAGGGTTCAAGGCTGTGAAATGCACCTGCCTGAGGCTTGTCTGTTCCCATGTTTTGCAGTTACCTTAACTACAATGCCAAAAACAAGCCACAAAAGGAAGCTGTGGTTCTTACAGGCTCTGAAAGGACTCAGTTTGCCAGAGGAATAAGTAGCATTTTTACCACTTGGTCAGCTGCAGCAAAGGGCACAGAGTCGAGTTAATGGTTATTAAACTTGCAGACACTCTGGGAGAGAGAGAACTGGAGGCTGCATTGCTTGGCTCCTAGGCCAGCATAAAGCCATGGCTCTGGTGGAGAAGGGAACAGCACACTGGGCTGAATGAGCAGTGTTGAAGTTATTGGGTTACTCCAGCAACTGCTCTGTGCCTCCTGTAGCTGTGCAGGGTGGCTGGGAGCTATGATTCTTCCCTAGGGAGTCTGCAGGCTGGCTGGGGACAGGAGCACAGAGGAGTGGCACACAAATATCTGTTTGCCTGGACTTACTCAACCTGCTTCTGCAGAGTGTGCCTGAATCTCACGGGCTGTGAATGCATAAATGGTGTGTGTCTGTTGATGTTTGGGTTGCTGATGTGGTGGTAAAGCAGATGCTCTCCTGGGTGCAGGAAAGCCCCCAAGAGGGCTGACCCTGTCCCCTCATCCCTCTTCCTCTGTGTTCATAACTATGTGCTCCTGCTGTGTTTCCCTGGTGCTTGCTCCAGTGCTTCTCTGATCCCCCTGTGGATGCAAAAGTCACGTTCATTTTGGACAAAAGGTTACATGGGCAGAAAACAAACCCAGTGAAAGAAGTGACTTGTTTGGTGCAGGGGCAGTGGGTGGAACTGGCTCAGCACAGGACTGTTGGTGCTGCGGAGCTGTCCCGAGAAATGAAGCAGGTGGCAATGACAGCAGAGTCGTCCAGTCCCTCTGGGCAGGAGTGAGCCATGAGGGTCTCACTCGTGTCCCCGTGGTCAGCAGGAGCAGGGCAGCAGCTGGGGAAGTGTATTCCTGGAAGTCTGGCTGGGACACTGCTGCTGGGGGCTTGTGTCCCTGTAGGTCCCTACATAGGCAAGATGCTCCCTGTTGTAATGAGGTTGTCTGATCTTGCAGGATTCCATGCCAGAGGTGATGTGACTTGCAAATCAGGGAGTGGGTGTCATTTGCAAATTCCCTGCAGCAGGGCAGGGTGCAGCTGGGATGTGAAGGTACAAAAGGAGCCCTCCATCCCCCGCCTCCCCTCAGCCTGCCTTTCCTCCTCAGTCCCCCGCAATAATTGTCTGCTCTGTTACAGGTCTTGATTTCAGCCTGTCATTTTATGTGTAAATCACTGGGCTGGGACCTGAGTTCAGATCAAGATCAGATGTGCATTTCAAAGCCAGTAGCTGTTCTGGAGTGATCTCATGGTGAACGTTTTCTTTTTTTTTTTTTCCCTCTAGAATGAGAGAGGCTGTTCTGGCTTAGTTGATCCATTATCGAGGAGATTAAATAATACCAAGCCAGCATCCTTTTATCTCTGGCTGAGAGTCTGTGCCTGCTTTTCAGAAATAGCTTTTCCAGAGCAGCTGGGTAGAGGCTGCACATGCATGCTGGTGTGCAGCAGTCAGCACTGCTTGCATTGCGTCTGCCGTTGTGTCCAGGAGATGAATAACAGCATTTTGCTAATGGGTCTCATGTCAACAGGGGTGATTTAGCAAGGAAGACTGCAGTGCATTAGTTGCTATGAGTCAGATTCACTCAGCCTTGCACTGATCCTTTATTGGTTTATAAATTAAACTGCAGATGCTGCGTCCTGTCAGTGCTGGCATGCTGAGGATCCTGAAAGGGGTTCTTCCCGTGGAGTTGTCTCAGAAATGTTAAATTACTGCCTCAGGAGTCAGGGAGTGCAGGTTGTAGCCCCAGCTCTTACAGCAGTGACTCCAGCCAGGCTGCCCTGGCGCCTGTCAAAATTGTGGTGTGACTCTGATGAGGCTCTTGTGGCATCTGCTGAGAGCTCATCAGCAGTCTGTGCCTGCTGTGTGGCATCCTGCATGCTCATGTTCTGAGGGGGTTTGTTGTAGGTATAAAAATGCTGTCCAGGTGAACAGTGCGGGGAAATTGATGCTGGCTGCTCCTGTCCCTTCCTGGTGGAAGGGTCTGTGCTTCTCCCATGGAGAGAAGAGAAGCAGCAGGGACCCGTGTGGGCCAGGACAGGGACTTGTGGCTTTGTGCTGCTTTGAAAAGTACTTCAGAAATGAAAAACATGTTCTCCTCTGTTCTCCCCAAGACCTGAGAAACCATCTGGGCTCTTTCCCAGAAATCCACCTCTGCCCCACGTGGTCCTGGAGGGAAATGTTTTGTCTTTTTGTAAAGTGTTTGTCCTTCTGGGGTCAGCCCTGGCGTGCTCAGGGGTGGTGACAGCCCAGGTGTGTTCTCAGGGAGGATATGGCCATGTGGGGCAGGAGCTCCAGCGTCCTGTGGACAAATTGTGTTTGAACCACAGGAGCCATTTAGAGAGAGCCCAGGGTCCAGGATAATTCAAATCTCAGGCTAAAAGCTGACAGATGATGGCCACCTACCTGGTGTTTCCTGTTCACTCCTTCTGTGTCTGCATTCAGTGTTTCCATATGGGAGAACAAAGCCACAAAGGATTTTTTTTGGTACTGAAGGTCCCAATATTACAGCAACTGTGGGCATTTTCAGCACTGGTTAAAACACTGACCCACAGTAGGGACAGGGCTGCTGGACCCCTTGTTTCACCTGCACAGAGTCCAGTTTGGGGTGGTTTCTACCTGCAGGACATCTCTGGAGCTGGGGGTGTGGTGTCAAATGAAAGTCAGAAATTCCCCTATACATATATATGTGTATATATATATTTATTAAATGTAGCTTTTCAGTGGCTCACTGAGCCCTGTTCATTTCTGTTCTGGTGGTTGGTTTCTGTGGCAGAGCAACGTGTGGCAGGATGTGTGAAGGGCCATCCAGGATTTCTGGACCCATTCCTCCAGACCCAGCGCTCTTTCCGGAGTATTACAAACGTCCCCTCTCAGGTGAGTCCTTCATGCTTGGTACAGGTTTTAGTTTGTGCTTTGATGTGACACAGCTTGATGTCCTTATCCCTTGGTGTCCTCGACAGTCTCTATTCACACTGGTGAAGGTGCTTCTGATGGTGATCCTAAAGTAGTCTGTACAGCTGGTTGAAGGATGGGAAAGCATAAGGCAGAGGTGAAGAGGGGGTCATCACGTTGTTTGTGGGCTGTGGGTGCAGAAAGCTGAGGTAAGATCATTTCCTGACAAGGTTCTCCTTTTTCTTTCCCTGCAGCTCAAGGGAGGCTGGAAGGAAATGCTCAGAAGCTGTATTTAACCTCCAGCCCCCTGGACTCAGTTGCCAGCCCCTACCCTGCCCTGGGCAGTGCCCGCCAGGCGCAGCCAGCCCCTCGCATCCGCCCCAGCGGAAAGCTCTTCCTGGAGAGGGGACAGAAAGGGACACTGGGCCTCCTGCTGCAGCTCGAAGGGATCTCTCTTGATGGGGGGATGCCAGCTAAGAGTAAGTACAGCCAAATCACTGCTGGCTTCAGCTGCCTTTGGGGCCAGGGATGAAGCATTTGGGGTGGATTCCCAGGTTCTGCTGCCTGAGGAGAGCTTGAGCTTCACAGGGCTGGTCACCCCATCTGCAGCTGTGGCCTGGCAGTGGAGTCACCTGTGCTGGAGCCAGTGATGTTTTGGCTCCAGTTTCAGGTTTAAAATGGGAAGAGGGACTTGAAAAAAGGTGCAAAAATTTGGACTTTTTTGTAGTAAAACTTCTATATGAATCAAACAAAACCTTGATGTATTGAGGGTGTTTAACATGGTGAGTTCCTAGTTGGTGAAGCCAGGCAGGATTTGGGAAGGATGCCTGTGGATGTGGATGTGAGAACATCTTCGCAGAAGATTGTTCCCTTCTCCAGGACAGGGATGTCACCCAGAATACATTCAGAGCTCCAGGAAGGAGATAAGTTTGAGCCCTGTGTGTAATTTTAATTTATTTCATGTGCTGTCATTGCCCTGAGCTGGTGCCAGTGTGGTGGATGCCACAAGTGCTGTGCCCAAACCAGGGGGGAACAGATGAGCACCTGGTTATGTCAGCTGAGATGTTCCCTGCCTTGGGGAGCCCAAGGAAGGATAATTTTTGATTCAAAAACAAAACAAAACAGAGTCCTAATCCATAGTCTTGGTTGTGTCAATGTGGGATAATGTCCTGAAAGCAGGAACAGGGCAAGTTCAAGGCTCTGTAGCCCTCTCTACTTCAGGAACACTGTGTGAGCTGAACTGGGAATCGACCTTGCTCTTGAGAGGGGGCTGGCATGGCTTGTCTGGCATAGGCCATACTGGGACAAGAGGAGAACAAGGGAGTCTGTGGACACCAGCAGTGTGCACAGACCTGTTCTGATGCTCACCTGGGCACGGTGGGATCCTCTGGCAGAAGAGTCAGTCCAGGAGTGTGCATCTAGCAGGGGCAGGGTGCAGACATGGGCTGGTCTGCAGGAGAGGCAAGGACTTGCTGGTTCTCCTGGCTGTTGGACCAGCTTTGGGAGGGATCTGTGACTGCATCCTGTGGCAGTGTCTGGGAGGTGAAGGTGTGTCTCCCCTTGCTGAGCAGGGAAAGAGGCCAAGGACTACGAGAAGGAAAACGTGAGGCGGATAAAGGAGATTCAGAAGAAGTGCAAAGAGAAGGAGCGAGCCCAAGAGCGCAGCCAGCCCAAGCCTGTGAAAGCTCTCTGGAAATCCCAGAAATACGAGAATGTGGAGTCAAAGGTGAAGGCCAAACTGCAGGTTGGTATCTGTGGAGGAGCTCTTGAACTCTCCAGGCTTGGGGAACAGTGGGGTGATGGGGACAGGGGAGTCCTGGGGCCTGCAGGGTCTGGGGGCGTCTCAGTGCTGAAGCACTGGGCAGATGTGGCAGTGGGGCTGTGAGTGACAGTGTGGTTTGGGTCCAGACAGTGACTGCTGCCATAATCCCTGTCCTGCTTCCCTCTCATAGCTGTGTTTTCTGCCAGGGGATGCTCCCATCTGACTTTTCAGCTTCCCCATGTTTGGGGCAGCACTTCTCTGAGGTTTGTGCCAAAAGGCTGTGGTGATTTACCCAGAGGTAAGAATAGCAGGCTGCCCTGAGCCTCAGTCCATCTGTTCCCACCCTCTGGATACACAGTGGGCCGTGTGTTCCACACATTCTTCCCCAAGTGATTGTCCTGGTGAATATCCACTGCTCTGGGGGGCACACAGACATCTCCAGGCAGTCAGGATTGAGGCCTCAGAGATCAGCACAGCCTGTGAGGGTGCTGAGTTGGAGCCTTTAAGGTCCTCCTCATCTCAACATTGCTTCCCTTTTGTCTGTGGCCAGCTTTTGATGCTTAAAATGACATGTATTGGTAACAACTGTAAAAATTGGCCAGATGATTCCCAAGCCAGTGGTTCCAGCTGCTGTGTCCCTTTTTCCTGGTGTGTCACCAACCTCTTTGGTATCTGTGACCCTTCCACACATGGGAGCAAACCCACGAGTGCTTCAAGAACAGAAGCCTACGCTCTTGTTTGACAAATCCTCTGGGTGAGAAGAAGATTGAGCTCATTTCTTCCTTTGTTTTGGGGAAAGGGGGTGGTCTCTGCGCAGGCAGGTTCTGCGTGGTGCGTTACTTGTGCTCTGTGTGTTCCTCCAGAGAGGCCCTGGCACTGACTCATGATGCTTTAACTGTTGCTGTGGCTCTCCTGGAGCTGAGGTGTTCCCTGTGAAGGATCTCCATCTTCTGTGGAGCTGCTGCTGCTGCTGCTCAGAGTTCCAGTTGATTCTGCTGGATCTTGATGACTAATGCAGAGTTTTTTCTCAATCACCTGTCCCTGAGGCTGTTAGCTGTAGCAGTTGTCTTGCAAAGGGTTCTGGCAGTCCCAGTGCTCCCGTGGAGGGAGATGGGGCAAGCTGTGCTCTGTGCTCCTGAGGTCAGACTCAATCAACCTTACCAGCTGTGCTAGGTGAAGGCAATTCTCATTAACTTACCAGAGAGATCCAGATCTCTTGTTGAAACAAGACTGATCATCACTGGAGCATGAACAGTCTGGGCAGTGCTGAGGGCATCCCATACCCTGCTCCTTGCACCAAACCCACCAGTGTGGCTGCCCAGTCCCACCATCTGTCTGCAGCTCTGCCCAGCTGAATGGGCCAGGCAAGAGGAAATCTTCCCCAGGGAGCTGCAGCTCAGCTCAGGCCTTGGGTATTTCTAAAGATCTGGGGGTGGCCCTGTGCAGTTCCCATCACTCCCAAGGGCAGAGCAGAGCCCCAGCTGTGTTTTTCGTAAGGTCACCCACTTGCCACAGTGTCAACTTTCAGTTTTCAGGGTTTGTTTGCAACCAGACTGTCTGAGATAGTCCCAGACCACCTGCTAGACATCAAGTACTGTCACCCTGTGCCACAGCCTTTGAAGATGCCCCTCAGATGCAATCCCACCAGACTCCTTCACTCTCTGCTCCTTTTTCTTTCTAGAGTGATATAACCTAGATTTGAGGTGCTGAGCAGAGCAGCCCTGGAGAACAGCACCTCAGCAGGCAGCCTCATGCCTACCTGCTTGATCCAAATTTGCTTCTGCAGAGTTCCTCCCCTGTTTCTCAGCCTTCATTCTGTGGCCAGGTCTGGATCTGTTGTGTTTGTTGGTCTTTGCTGGCTGATTACAGGTTATCTTCCCCCAAGAACTTCTGCCAAGCCGTGGCAGAAAGCTTGTGCTGTCCTGTGCCTGTTGGAAACCTGTGGCTGAGCTCGTGCTTGACCACCCAAACTTGGTTGAGAGGGTTTTTCTTTGCCCCAGCCTCCCTCCACTGGTGGGTTTTTTCTTGTCTTTCCCAGGAGACCTCTCCACCTCCCAATCCAGAGGCTGTGAATTTCCTGCGGGCGTATTCCCGCTGTGGCTCTGGGATCAAGCCATGCAGACCACTGTCCCCAAAGCCAGTCAGAGCAAAAGCAGGAGCAGACACAGAGGCTCCAGAGGCACAGGGGGCTGAAACCAAGGTGAGTTACACACTACCTGCATCCATCCCAGGGATTTCTGGCATGGAAAATCCCTTCTTCTGAAGTGTTGGGTCAGATGTGCTGCTTGAGTAGGGAGATCTGTAAATACTGTTCCTGGCTGAAGGGAAGGAGCAGGGTCCTGGTCACTTGGGAGGTGAGATGGATATTCAGGGACTGTTAATTCTAGCTTCATCCTCACTCATAGTTAAGGAGATCATGAAGTTCACTGTGAAAATTCCACCTCCTCATGCCAGCAATCTCAAATCTGCTCTGCCAATGGCTTTGCAGGAGGTCTTGGGGTTTTGGAGGCTGTTCCCACTGTAATCAAAGGAACTGTGGCTTCTGGATGTTAGATAAAAATTTGGGAAATGAGTGTGTGTTTTATTGAGGAGAGTTAAATCAGCATTAATATTTAAACCTTTCAAGTAGTCTGTTTGGGAGGTCCTAAACAGCTCCATGACTCATGTCCTTTTCCCTTGGCAATTGTGAGATTGTCAGTTTGTTGGTTCCTAAATGCCATGAATGACTTAATTAAACAGGACATGATCTACAAAGGAGGAAGACCAGGGAAATCTTAAATGCAAACACAGCCACCTTCTCCACTGCTTTGTCCATCAGAGTAGCTGTGGTGGAGGTGCTATGTCTGGGCAAGTACCCCAAGGATCAGCAAAGTTCCTGCTCTGCCAGGGGCTCTGTTGAGTTTCTTGGCCCGGTGAGCACCCAACCTGTTTTTCCTCTGCCCTCAAAATGCTCCAGTAGGAGCCATGGGGACTACGTCAAGCCTGGGTTTTTCTGTCCTTTTGACTTTTAAGGCATGTGGTCGTCTTGGGGACCTTAAAGAGGCCAGGATTAGACTTGGCTTTAAGTGCCTGCCTTCCCAAACCGTGGCCACAGCTCCTGCCTGTCTGTGGCTGCACACTGAGACACGCTGTGCCGAGGATCTGCCCGTCCTGCTGTCATACAATTCATATCTTGTGTGGTGCATTTTTGCTGGCTGTGTGCACGGGCCCAGCCTGCCCCTGACGCCTCTCTGTCTCTTTTTGCAGGTGCAGGTGGAGGGCAGGAGCGTTGACTTCATCAGGCACAACGCGTGCGCTGCCCGGCGGGCCCCGCTGCGCCGCTCGCAGTCCCTGCAGGCGCTGGCCGAGCTGCTGCAGCAGCGGCACCGCCAGCAGGAGGAATACAACGCCAAGCAGAAGGGCCACGTCCCCCAGTAGTATGTGTGCCCCTCTGTGCTCCACCAGACCGTAACTGCCTTAATGCACAGCCTGGCTTGTGCCTGGAGGGATGGGCTGGGCACAGAGGTGCTCTTGCGATGTGCAGCAGTGTCGGTTTCTCTGGCTGGGGAGTCAACGCTGTCCCTCCTGCTTTCTTGGCTTAACCAAGTGTGACAGGGCTCAGAGGGAGTTTTGTCTCCTCCTTCCCTTGCTTGCTGTTATGGGGAAGCTCTGTGTGCCTTGAGAAATGTGCTCCTGCCTTTTGTAGGCTTTATTCCTTGTGATGTAGCTTTGGCATGAAAAGGTCTGGTTTTGGAGAGGCACAGAGCTCTCTCTGCCTCACAGGTGTTCATCCTGCCTTGGGCCTGGGTTCTGGGGAGCATCCAGCTACTGCTGTGCATTTTGAGATTCTGCATGGGAAACAGACCCTGTCCTAGGACTGACTGTGGTGCCAGTCCTTTGCTTGTGCTGTCCTCTGCCAGCATCCCTGGCCGTGAGCTGCTGTCTGACTTCATGCTGCCATTGACCCACAGATGGTTTGGCAAGGACTCAGTGAGCCAGAAACGAGGAGCAGCAGCCCTTGTCTCCAAGGAGCTCATGCTGGCCTGAGTGCATCTCCCCCAGCAGCCCTTTGTGCATGTGGAGCACATTTGCTGGTCCACATATGTGGTTTAAACACGGTGTATCCCCCACCACGAGCGTGTGTGCCAGCACGCGGCTCCCTGGGGTCCTCAACCAGTGACATGGAACCCTGCAGGGTTTGAAGGGCACATTCCTGGCCTCTGCCTGTGCCAGATGTGCTGACACCTGCTCTCCTTTGCCTCCAGCCTGCTGGAGAGGAAGGAGCTGTGGCGCAAGCAGACGGAGGAGCGGCTGCGAAACCTGCCGGACCCCGACACGCCGCCCGGGCACACCATGATGCCCGAGGGCCAGCGCCTGGAGACCCTCAGCAACCTGAAACAGAGTAAGAGCAAAAAACCCAGCGAATCCAGCTCAGAAGAACAAACAGTCCTAGGCAGGATAAGGGAGAAGAGACACAGGGACACATTCCTGGCACTTGGAGAGTTGCCTGGATTAAGGCATATATAGGCAGGATGTGAGCTGTGTGCATGGAAAGAGGAATCAGTGTCCTGCAGGTTACAGGACTGGCTCTCTGGAGCACACTTGTCCAGGGGACTTGATGTTAGGGTTGCTATTGCTCCTAAAATCTTAGAAAGATTTTGGCTGGAAGGGACCTTCAGAGGTCTCTAGTCCAATCCTTGGTTCTCAAAGCTGGAGCAGGTCCCTCAGGTCTTATATCCAGCTGAGCTTTAAATAGAAGGATTCTAGTTCCTTGTTCCAGTGCTGCCATTGTCTTCATGGTCATAGCACTAGAAAAAGGGTGGATTTCTTTGCTTTTCAACTTACACAACTTTTTTTTTCTCTTTTTACAGGCCAGGAGCAGCTGATAAAGGAGCTGGTTCTGCTGCCAATGCGTGGAGACAGCCTCAGGATGCAGAAGAGGCGGGTAGAGCTCGAGAGGAAGCTCTCCCAGATAGACGAGGCAATCAAAATTTTCTCAAGGCCGAAAGTCTTCATCAAGTTGGACTCCTGAGCTGGTGGGGCCAGGTGTGCTGTGCTGCTCTGCCTGAACATCCTTTGTTGCTGGGCAGGAATGGACATCACTTTGAGAGGGAAAAGAGGAAGCCAAGTTCCAGACCCTGGGCCCATGCAGGTGCCAATTACCGTGTCCAGTACACAGCTGGCATCTCTTGCTCACCTTTCAGTGCTGTGTCTTGTCCACAGAAAAGGGAGGGAGATGCCCTAATAAAGGCCCTGCTCAGTGGTCTGGAGAACAGTTGTCTCTGCTGCTTGACTTCTCACAGATCAGCTCTCTGCTCTGGAACTCTGGCATCAGCTCTTACTTTCCCTTTTTTTCCTACTTCTAGAAACTGGTAGGAGGTCTCTTGTGCTGCTGCCTGTGGTATTCCTTGTCATTCTGCTGAGCTGGACTGTGGTCATAGCTCATCCTGAGCACCTGAGAGCTCAGGGAACAGCTTGGGGACAAGAAAAAAGCACAGAGCTTCAGTGTTTTCTGCCCAGGGAAGGGCTGAGCTGTCAGGAGGGTCTGGTCAGATGTCTGGAGAAGCCTTTGTTGTCTATGGGGCAGGAGATACTCCAATAAATCATCATTTCCATCTAGCAGTGTGTGTGCAGCTCCCAGTGGGCCCAGCAGGGCCTAAGGAATGGTGTAGGCAGCAGAAAGCATCAGCATTGGCACAGTGCAGGCAGGGGATGAGCCGTGTGTTCCACAGGGTGCTGGGACATGGCAGTGGGACATGGACTGGAGAATGTACAAAATCCTGCTGGATCTCCATCCACAGGCTGGCAGGACAGGGCTGGAAGGTGCCATCACATAGGTGAGCTCACTGCTGCCTTACCTTCAGATGCCATGCAGGAACGTGTGCAGACCTTTGCAGGGATCTTGCTGCATGAAGAAGCTGTAAGGGATGGCTCGAGGGCTTGGTGCATCTCCTGCTCAGCAGGGGCACGGTGCCACAGCTTGGAGCCACATCCAACTGAATTAGGAGAATCTCCAGGGAGGGGCTTTTCCCCATCACCTTGCTGGGGCTCTGTCTCCAGACAGTGCTGGCCTCATGGGGAACACTTTTTCCCCAGAAATCCCATCTGGTTTTCCCTTCTTGCAGCTTGTGCAAGCTTGTGCTCCATCCCCATTTGCTGCACAGGGTGGGGAAGGTGTGTGTGGATCCCCCAAGCAGCTGCCTTTCTGCAGGGCAGGATTTTGTGGGGTGGGGATATTGTGGAGTATCCTAGCCCTGCCTGTGCCACCTGGCACACTGCAGTGCCCTGGGATGTCAGGGCTGACGCTGCTGCCAAGGCGTGGGGAGTATTTTGGCACTCGAGGGCTGGAGGAGGTGAGATGCCAACTGGAAAATCACCCCATGTGCCCCTGGGGCCACCTCAGGGCAAACCCCACAGCCAGGCGGAGCCGGCTGGATGAGAGCGACTGGGGGCCATGGGCACAGCCCCTGGGCACCTCCCTGCCCAAAACCAGCCTGGGCTAACCAGCCCTGCTGCCAGATCTGCTCTCTGGTCTCTCTGGGCCCTGGCTGTGTGCCATGAGTGTCCTCAGCCCTTGCTGCACTCCCAGCCTGCCCTGGCCTGAGGCTCTGAGAGTTGGTGCTGGCTTTTCAGACCCTGAGAGCTGCAGGTCCCACCACAAGCCCTTGGCAGCAGTGAGTGCCACATTGGCTTGGCACTTTTGGGAGAGGGACTGAGGGTGCTGGGAGCCCCAGGAGAGCAGCAGGGGCAGGTGTGGATGCCCCTGCCCTGAGCTTGGGGCTGAAAAAGGAGGATGAGGCTGCACTATCTCTAGCAGCATTTGCGAGGCTGAGTGACAGCCAAGGTGCTGCTGCCAGACCAGGTGTCCCTTGTATTAGTGAGTGTCCCTGCAGCGGGGACAAGGTGGGAATGGGGGGACCAAGCAAGGCTGACTGCATCAGGCCAGGCAGCTGCCCAAAACCGCCTGGACATGGGTCCTGGAACAGGCACAATGAGTCTCACCAAGCAAGGCTGACTGCATCAGGCCATCAGGCCAGGCAGCTGCCCAAAACAGCCTGGACATGGGTTCTGGAACAGGCACAATGAGTCTCAGTGGGGTCACCCAGCACAGCAGCAAAGGTCAAGGCCATCGCCCCCAGGCACTGCCTTCTGTGCACAGGGCTGGGGTACCCACCCGCTGTCCCCCTCCTCCCTGCAGTGACATGAACCAGGGACAAGCATGGCGCTTTCTAGAAAAAGTTTTACTGTCCATTGCAATATATTAATGATGCATATTTCAATAAAACAATTAAAAACCCCCGCTTGCTTGGAAGAGGAGGTAAGGGCGCTCAGAGGGGCAGTGCCTGGCTTGAATGGGTCCCACAGTGGGGCTCTGGGGGTCACGGGGGGTGGGAGAAGGCAGCGGACAGCCCCTCTCCACCCCTGCCCGATGGCCACATCATCACCCTGGTGTCCACATCCAGCCCAGATCAGCGGGAACCCAGCCAGCCACCGAGTGGCACGGGCCCCTGCGGCTATAGGGTGAGGAGGGTGCCATCCTCCCGTCCGCTGCCCCTGCCAGGGCTGCCGTCGTGGCTGCCGAGGGACTGCAGGGAGCCCCGCGAGCTGTGCGGGGACAGGCTCCGCTGCAGGGGTCCGTCCGCGGGGCCCCCGTTGGGGCAGCCCCCGGGGATGTAGTGGGACGCGCTGTCGCTCTCGATGACCAGGTCGCCCTCCTCGTCGCTCTCGGCCGTGCTGTAGTTGCTCAGGTACTGCGAGGCCGGGCTGGGGGTCTGCTGGCTGGGGGTGCTGTCCGTGGACATGCCGGAGCTGCCCGAGGCCTTGCTGCTGCGGATGACGTTGTTGCGCTGGTTGGCCGGCTTGACGGTGATGATGAGGTTGTGGCTGTTGGCCACCATCATGTCCGTCACTTGGTCCAGGGACTTGCCAGCCACATCGATGCCGTTCACCTCCAGGATCTCGTCGCTGACCGCCAGCAGCCCCGTGCTCTCAGCCAAGCCGCCCTTCACCAGGCGGGAGATGAAGATGCCGGGCACCTTCTCGACGCCCTGCGGGGCCACGCGCACGCTGACGCCGTCGCGGATGTAGAAGCCCAGCGGTTTGTCGGAGCCGTGCTTGTGCAGCCGCACGCGCCGGTGCGTCTCGGGCAGGATGTCCACGTCGATGATGGAGGAGATCTGGCGGAAGTCCTGGGGCATCCCGATGAGGAGGTGAGGCTTGGCCCGGTAGTGTGCTGGGCGCAGCAGCCCTTTCTTCTTCCGCTGCAAGGAGTTGGAGGCGAAGACGCTGGCATCAGACTCTGCTGCAGGGAGCGAGGGGGGACACGGGTCAGGCACTGCAGCTGCCGGGGACGTGAGCGCGTGCCCTTGGCCCCAGGTGCTCAGCAGAAGGGCCCTGCTCACGGGTCTCACCGGCTTTTCCTCCCCAGATCATCAGCCTGGCTTTCTCTGCAGCCTGTCTCCGCTGGGGCCCATCTCCTGGGATTACCCAGCGTACACAGGCACACAGGCCAGGATTAGTGGGATCGAGGCAGTGATTCAGCCTTAATCACACTTTAAGCCAAACTCTGCAGTTTAACACTAGAGCTGCCAGCCCTGATGGCCTGGGAGCTGCAGCCATGCCCCAGTTTGGGTTTGGGGAGAGAGGACCCCCCACACGAGTGTGCTGTGGTGGCAACCAACTCCCTTAGGGAGAGTCCAACCCCAGGAGACAGCACCAGAGTCCTCTGCCCCACCACAGCAGCGCTATCGCTGGCATGGGTTGGTGATAGCCACAACTGTGTCCTGCAGAACTCTGCCATTCCCAAGGACAGACACTCCCCACCTCCTGGAAATTCATCCCAGGGCTGCAGCATCCTCAGGGCCCCTGAATATCCAAGACTGTAATTTGTGCTCATGTCTCTTATTCCACCATCAGGCACCTTCATACAGGGTTTGACTCCATCCTTCTGGACCGTGGCCTGGGGCTGCTCTGTGGGGCCCAGCTTCAACCCATCACTCTTGGCCTCAGCCACCAGGTGCTGGGGAGTAGCCCCTGGTTCCTCTCTGGTTTCTCCCCATCTCTTTCCATGGGGGAGCCCAGATCTGGATTCTCCATGGTCAGCACATTCGGCACAGTGTCCCCCACCAGCATCTGGACCCTGCTCCAGCTGCGGGGCTGCTAGGGATGTCCCCAAGCCCAGGGGACATGGGATTTCTCCCTAGCCAAGCCAGCCTGCCAGGGCTCCTGGTTTATAAATATCTCCCTGCACACACAGCCTTGGCATATTTTTAGCTCGGGGAAGGGTGGCGGAGGCTTTCCCACAGCTATTTCAGCACACAGCTCCTCTCCAAGGGGCGCAGAGTGGCTGGGCCAGGCAGGTCCAGCACGCCAAGGATGAGCCCCACGGTGGCCCTGGCAATGTCCCACGCCTTCCCCTGCCCTTCCCATGAGCCTGGGCCCAGCCAAGGAGGTCAGTGCCATTGTCCCAGCCAGGCTGCCCTGCAGGAATGGCTTCACCCAGCAGGGTGATGGCACAGAGGGGAGCCCAGCTGCAGCCTTTGCTTTTTGCCCTGCTGTGGCAGGACTGGCTGCTGCGGAGCCCACTGCCAGGAGCACACCTGTGTGTGTGCACAGCTCCCTGCACCCGGCGGGGGGAGAGGCTCTGCAGCCACATTCCTCAGCGACCCAGACCGGTTCAACGACAGCCTAGCCTCGGGATGACCTGGATCCATTTTAAATTAGCTGTGATTCACCCAGGACTTGCTCCTGGCCTCTCTGCTCACCTCCCTGTGGCGCTTCCCGCCCTGCGGCCCCTCTCCTGCGGGCACAGCTGGGTGCTGGGGCTCCCTGGTGCTGCCTGCTCGCCTTCCTTATCATGCTGCCCATGGAGCCAGGCTCTGCCTGCTCCCTCTCCACACTGTGCTGTCTTGACACAGTCAGCCGTGGGCCCTCACAGGCTTTTACAGCAGCCCACAGGATGGCTCTTGGGAGCAGGAGTGATGGTCCCACTGCAGCCTTGGCACGTTCACCCCTGCACTGGCTCTCCATGTCACAGCCTGGGTCCAAGCATTGGGCCAGGAACAGGGGATGGTTCAGAGCTGGCAGCGACAGCTCCTGAGCGCACCACGAGCTCCAGCAGCCTGGATCACTGCTGCCAGCCCCCACACCATGTGGCCACAGGGGAAACACATGTCCAGGGCATCCCACACCACCCTGATGCAAAAGCCCAGGAAAACTGACACCACAGCCAGAGCTGGCCACCAGCATCATCTCTCGCCCAGAGACTTCATACCGCTAACACGAGCTGGAAACACAGACTCACTCTGGATGCTGTGCTGACCCTGGCTCTGGGTCAGGCTCTGGCTCTGTGAACTGCTGACTGATGGTGCTATGAAAGAGAAAACCTCGGTGCTACTAAACTGAATGGAAGGGGATGGGCTTGTTTTCCCTGCAAACAGGAGAAATACTCTGAGTGTTTGTCACTTGGAGGATTTCATCCTCACCAGGGTGCTGCTATCAGGATGCTATCAGGTGTACCTGGTCAAAGAAGTGGATCCCTGGGAATATGCCACTAAGGTAAGGGCAAGTCCCTGGTCTGACAGGGAGGCACCAAGCCCCTTCTCAACATCAGAAATCCAGCAGCACCTGGCACCCCGAGAGCTCTGCCAAAATGATGGCTGTTGCCTCCTCAGGGCAGGAAGCTGGATGGGGCTGCTGGCACAGTGCTCACGGGACTAACACGGGTGTTATCTGGGAGCCCATGCAAGCTTGGCTGCAAAACACGACTTCAAAGGGGTGAATTGCAAGGATCTGCCTTTGCTCACCAGTCGCATGGGGCTGGGCTGAGGCAGGTGCCCTCAGCTGCCAGGGAGAGCCTGTGTGGTTGCCACAGCCCTGGCAGGGTTCTGGCAGCCTCCCAGTGCCACCATCTCCACATCCATCCACCAAAGCAGTGGCTGGAGGGTATGTGACCAGCCAGGCCCTGCTGGCACAGTCCAAAGGTGGAACCAGCAGCACTGCGGGTTGTGGATCATCTCTCTTGGCAGGAGGACACGTCCAGTGCCGCACTTACCCTTCTTCTGGATGATGACCCTGAGGAGGGGGTTGGCAGAGGACAGGGCTTTGTGGTAGTTGTCGTCGTTGTTGATGGGCAGGAGGTCGCCGTGGATGTCTGTGTAGCCCAGGAGCACGTCCACCCGCGGGATCTGGTGCACTGTCTGCAGCAGCTGGTAGAAGTCCTGGAAGCTGCCGGCGCCGGAGCGCTTCATGGCAAAGCGGCGAAATTCAGCGTCAAACTGCAGAGGAGGATGAGGAAGAGGAGGAAGAGGGTGACTCTGGGCAGGGCTGGCCCCGGTCTGCAGGACTGATGCAGGCAGGGGACCACACAGAGCTGCCCCAGGGCAGGCAGAGCCAGTCAGGAGAAGCCCGTCCCAAAAACAAAGTAAAGAGGGAAGCCGTTTTTCTGCCCAAACACTGAAGTGATGGGGCAAAAAGATGGCCAGGCGGCAGAGGAAGGACCCTCTGGCCATACCACCAGCCGTGGCAGACTCCGTGCTGCCGGGAGGCCCTTCCCTGCGACACGGGCGCTGCCGTAGCACCTGGTGAGCAACAGCGCTAATTAATGCCTCCTTCCGTCACGACGAACGGGAAGCCAATTAAGAACAGGCTGAGGAGCGCTGCGAGGATCGCGCTGCCCGCGGGGGTCACACCCCAGCTGTTGGGGCAGGCGGTGGCCACCACGTCCTGGGAAGGAGGACACCCTGCACCCTGCCGGGGGTCCCGAGCAGGCAGTGGCACAGCTGGGCGAGCGCGCAGCTGGATAAGGGTGCAGAAAGGGAGTGCACGCATCTGGGCGGGCACAGGGGTGGGTGGATGGGCACAGGTGTACAGTGGTGCATATCTGGGTGACCGCACACATGTGGGCAAGGGTGTGCCAGGTGAGCACATATCTGGATGAGCAGACACGTCTGCGGGAGACCACAACTGGGCTAGCGCACAGTCATGCAGGTGTGCACATCTGGAGGCGCGACAGGGGCTCGTCCCTTGCTGAGGGCGCACATCTGGGTGATGGCATAGCCGGGGACGAGCATGCCTTGGCGAGCACGCACATCTGGGTGAGTGCACATCTGGGCGAGGTGTGTCCCCGGGGTGACCGCGCACCCCGCACACCCGCACCGGCGGGGCCACCCCGCACACCGGGGCTGCCGGAACGGCGCACCGGCGCCCCTGCGCATCTGGCGAGCGCTCCGCCGCGGTGTTCCCACGGCCGCGCCGAGCGAGCCCGCGGCCCGGCAGAGCCCACGGTGGCGGGACGCCGCGGCCGCCGGGCCGGGCTGCGCTCGGGGAGGCTCCGGGCAGCGCCGCCGCAGCGCAGGGAGCGGAGAGCCCGCACGGCCTGGCTCCCGCGCCGCTCCCTGGTGCGCGGAGCCACCCCACGTGTGCTGCCCGACGCGGGGGCGACGCGCTCGGTCGTGACCCGGCGGAACCGGCACGGGCATCGGCATCGGCATCACCGGCCCCGTCCCCGGCGGGCGCTTACCTTGCTCTTGACCTCGATGACGGGCTCGGCGGAGCGCGCCGGCGTGCGGTGGTGCTTGGCCATGGTGCGGGCCGGGCCGGGCCGCGGGGCCGCGCCGCCACCGCCGCTCCCGCGGCCACGGGGGATTTTCACCGGCCATGACGTCACCGGCGGGCAGGCCGGGCGCCGCCGCGCCATTGGCCCAGGCGGGGCGCGGGGCGGGGCCGGGCGGCTGCTGACAACGTCGCCGTGGAAACGGGGGTGGGGACGGGAGGGCGGCAGGACCCCCATCCGCATCCCTGTCCCCGTCCCCAAGCCCGTCTCCATCCCAGTCCCCTCCACGTCGGCCCCGTCTATCCGGGCACGGCTCCGCTCCCCGTCGGGCCGCCGCCGCGCCGGGACGGCACCGGGCACCGCGCCGGTAACCTCGGGCATCCCATCGCTGTCAGGAACCTCATTAGCGACATTAAACCCAGCAGCGGCCCCTCTTTGGGGACACCGAGCTCCGGCACGCTCGGCATCTTCATGGAATCCCCGAGAGTGTCGCCGGTGGAAGCCTCGGCCCCGCCCGGGAATATCCCTGCATTTCCCCGTGCTGGCAGGCGGCTTCCCGTGCCACCGGTGTAGTGGCCTTTGGCAGAGGCAACCCTGGTAGCAGGGGATGTTTGCCAGCTGTGTCCCTCATTCCCTGCCTCCTGGTTCGCCCTGGCTTTTCTCCTTTGTCTGGCAGGGAAATTTCATGCTGCCCCAGAGCAGGGTGGGCCAGGGAAGGTTCATTGTTTTGGGGATGATTTGCTTTACTGAGCAGTGGAACAGCTGAGCGAACACCAAGTTCACCGGGTGTGTGGCAAAGCCTCGCCGTGCCCGTCCCAGCACCAGGCTGCCAGGATGTGCAGCCAGAGCACATCTCCTCTGTGCTGCCAGGCTGTGTCCACAGGTGATGCCCGTGGGATCTGCCTGGCAGAACTGGCTCTGCTCGGGCACAGAAACACTCAGGGACAGCCAGAGAAGCCCTTCCCTGCAGACCCCACTGCAGTGCAGCTCTGCCAGTGATGCCAGAGCACACTGTGAGCTCCCTCCTGCCAACACCAGGGTCACCAGCCCCAGAGCCTGAACAAAACCAGACTCTTGCTCATGGACTCTGAGGAATTTTGGAGCCAAAGGGGCCATGACTGCAGCACCATGAAGCAGTTTTTAAAGCCAGACACCCAACGAGCACAGTGCTTTCAACAGAAAAAACACATCGAACCAAGCCCAGAGAATCAGCTGGGCTTGTCTGGATTCTGCTGCCCTGTGATCCTTGCCCTGTCCTGGCCGAGGGAGCAACATCTGGTCAGGACAAAATTGTATCACACCCCGGCACTCCTCCAGCACCAGGTCGGTGTTAGCTGCTCTGTGGCTCCTGGCAGGCTTGTCCCTTGTGTCACTGTGCCTGGGTGAGCAAAGGAGCACACCAGGCTGTGAGACCGTGGGGCATCTCCTCGTGTGCTGGCAAATTCTCCTCCCGCTGTGCTAAGAGATTGCCACGCCATGAAAACCAGCCTGACCACAAACAGAGCTGTAAACTCATCAGCAATACCCACTCACCCCCCCCAGTTTAGTTTGGTTTTTTTAAAACAGAGTAATTGTGTTAAGTTCAGAGAGATAATCCTGATTTACTCCATGGTTAATATTTACGCAGGCGACAAAAGCAGCTTGCAGCCCTTCATCTCCAGTTTTGGTAAATTGGAGTTAATTGTTCAGCAGGACAGTGGGGTGCTGTGCTGGTCACACCTTCTGGTTTGTGCTGTGGCCCCTTATCTGCTGCCACAGAGTGAGATAAGTTAAGCAGACAGTATCAGGATGTTTGTTTTTCCTCAGTCCCTGGAGCTCTGAATCAGCCTCTGGAACTGGAGCATGTGCTACCTGATGTCCAGATGTGTCCACTGACTCCAGATCCACCAATTCTTGGCTGCAGTGGGTGAGGGCCTGGCTCTCTGGGGGCTCCAGCACCCCCGACATGGAGGGGGGCTGCTGAGGTTTAGCACTCAGGTGCCTCAGGAGGTTGTTCCTCCAGCCCCTGCTCCAAGCCAGGTCAGTGCTGGATTCAGGTAAGCTTGTCCTGTGAGCAGGCATTTTCCCCAGCAATGGCTCAGACATGGAATGAGCAGAAAGCAGCTCAGTTGATCTGTGCCCTGCTTGTCTGTGATGAAGGAGAAGCACAGGAGCTCAAGGCAGGATCGGTGCTGTGGCTACAGCTGTGCAGCTGGTCCAGGGGCCAGCAACAGCACAGGCAGTCCCAGATAAAACACACAGAGTCCCTGATCCTGGTTCCACTCCAACACCTGCACGGCCTTACCCTGTCCCTGCCACCCATGGGAACTCGCCTGGTGCTCTGAACAAAGGCTGCAACCAGGCGAGCAGCAAAGTCACCTTGACTTTGGCAATGGCAAGGGTGGCCCTGGACACTGCGTTGGTCTTTCCCCACTGCCAGCAGGAGCCGAGGGATGGGCATCACGATCTGTGCTGATGGAGCAAGAGCAGCAAATAGCTCTGGCAGCATCTCCTCGGGCTGGAGGGACTCAGAGCAGAAGCTGGGGAGGCAAAGCCCACCTGGGCAGTGAGCCCTCCCAGGGACAGCAAGGACAGAGCCGCAGGAGTGCAGCCCCAGCGCTCGCTGCGGGATGTGGGTGCGAGAGAGGAATGGGCTCCGACGAACTCTCCACCCTCACAAGGACGTACCCCGGCCGCTGTGGAGGCTTCACCCGAGCAGACCCAGGCTCAGCTCATTTCTTCGTGATTTTGCGTTGTCGGCTCCACGGCAGCGCTGCCCTTGGGCTCGGCTCTTCCCGGGAGCCGCGGGGCGATGCATCCCCGCGGCAGAGCGCCTTTCCTGGTTGCAAAATCTAGTCTTGGCTGCAGACTCAGCCGTGCCTTTGGGCAACAGGTCTGGCTGCCAAGGAATACCGAGCAGCTCCTGAAACACGCAGAGTAAATAAATACCTGGTGCGGAGAGATAACTCCGGCGCCTCACGTTCCTACGGCTTTGTTTGGAAGGACGCGAAAACCCCCTCCTGGTGCATCAGGATCATTACCACGGGCTTTTCTCGGGCTGGATCGCATCTCACAGGAAGATGGGCAAGAGGAGGGGCGCTCAGAAGCTGCTGGTCCACATTTTCATGGTTTTTTTTTTTTTTTTTTTTTTTTTTTTTTTTTTTTTTTTTTTTTTAGTTAGTAAAAACGTCATTTATTATTAACTTTCCCCAGTATCTCTGCACACTTCTTTTGGCTCCACCCAGAAGTACGGTTTGTGCTGTGCACACAAAGCCCGCAGCAAACCTGCTGAGGTAGCTACACAGGTCGGGTACAATATCCATAGGGAAAAAGGGGATATTTCACCGGGATCAGGCTGTGCATGCAGCACGTGCGGGGCTCCACAGAGCTGTGCTGCTCCGGAGGGCCAGGGGAGAGGGAAGGCGAAGCAAGGGATCGCTAAGAGCGGCATTGGTGCCGGGGATGATGTGGTGGAAGGAGGGACGGAGAGACACAGGACAGCGGCACCGACCCGGCCATGGCCTCCGCCCCTCAGGGCCCGGGCGGGGCGGGTCACGGTCGCCGTGGTGACCGCATAGCCCCGCCCCTCACCCGGCACCACCCAATCAGCGCCTCCGTTTCCTCACGGCTCTGCACGCGAGGCTCCGTCCCATTGGCCCACGTGGCAGCCCCCGCCCCTGCCCTCATTGCGGCCAATGAGCCGCAGCCACCGCGGCCCTGCGGCGGGGCGGGCCCCTATAAAGCTCTCGCCGGGGAGGTTTTGCAATCACCGCCCGCCTGGCGCCCGCCATGGAAGCGCCGCTGTCGCTGCTGGTCCGGAGCCCCGCGCAGCGGCACCGCGACCTCCACCTCAGTGCCCAGCCTGCCTGGACCGTGCGCCGCCTCAAGACCGAGCTGCGCCGGCTCCTGCCCGACGCGCCGGTGAGTGCACAGCCCGCTGTTCCCTCAGCCGCGCCGGGCGGGTCCCTGCGCGCAGCCCGGCTGGGTGGCTGGGCCATGGGGGCTGGCTGGGGTGATGGGGGCTGGCTGGGCTGGCAGGCTCCCCAGGGTGATGGGGGCTGGCTGGGCTGGCAGGCTCCCCGGGGTGATGGGGGCTGGCTGGGCTGGCAGGCTCCCCGGGGTGATGGGGGCTGGCTGGGCTGGCAGGCTCCCCGCGGGACAGCCGCGGCAGCTGCCGTGGGGCTCTCGCGGGGCTCCGGGACCGGTGGCTGCCCCGAGGGGTGCCCTGGTCCCGGTTGCGTCAGCCGCGCTGGGGCTGTTTTGGGGCTGGTCTGTGGCCCGGCCGCGGTTAATCATTAACCGCCCTCCCGGCACGGCGCGGCCCGCAGCTGTGCGGGGACGTCAGCGCCCGCTGGCCCCGGAGCCGCGCCCGGGCACCGCACCCGGCCGGGCCGGGCCCATCCCGCGGCGGTGAGGGCGCGTTCCCGGGGAGCGGGAGGCCGGAATGCTGAGCGGTGCCTGCCCCCCGAGCCGCGGGACCGCAGCCGCGGTGAGCGCCGCTCCCGCGGCAGCGTGCGCGGCCTTCGCACAGCCGATAAACTTGGGAAAGACCTGCAAGTTCCACCTTGGGCACCGAGTGCCGCTGTGCCTGCTAAGCCACACTGCGCGTTCCCGGGGAGCGGGAGGCCGGAATGCTGAGCGGTGCCTGCCCCCCGAGCCGCGGGACCGCAGCCGCGGTGAGCGCCGCTCCCGCGGCAGCGTGCGCGGCCTTCGCACAGCCGATAAACTTGGGAAAGACCTGCAAGTTCCACCTTGGGCACCGAGTGCCGCTGTGCCTGCTAAGCCACGCTGTGGCATGCCGTGTCTGTACTCATGTTTTCCACGGATAGTGACTCCATTTCCTAGGGTAGCCCATTTCAATGTTTAGCTCTTCCTTCAGGAAGAAATTCTCCATAATCTCCAACTGGAGAGTGCCCTGCAAACTTGAAGCTGTTTCCCCTTGTCCTGTCACTAGTTGCTGGGGAGAATGCCTGATTCCCGTGCCTTGGCCATGCTGTCCCTGGCAGCGTGGTGATCAGCCAGAAACAGGCTCAATGTGCTCCACCAGCTGCTGGGAACAGCTCCTGGTGAAGAGCAGCTGGGTCCCGTTGGATGGGCTGTAACAGGTTTACTTGACACCACCTCTGGTGCTGATCAGGTTAGATAGAACTCCAAACTTCTGTCTTTAAGACATACAAATGTTTGTGTTGGGACTGTAAGAGATATAGCACATAACCAAATTCTTTGCCTGAGGGACTTTGGATTCTTAGCAGGTTTGCACCTTGATAATATCCCACTTGGGCGTTCAGTTGTTCCCAGAACTTCAGCTGAACTTAGATGTGCACCTTAGCATGTGGGATGCTCCAAGCTCTGTGCCTTTCCCCACCAGCTGTAAGCTGTGTTGGTTAATGCTTGGCAGAGCAAGTAACCCTATTCCTTGTTTTCTTTCTTCAAAGCCTGAAGAGGACCAAAAGCTGATTTATTCTGGGAAGCTGCTACTTGATCACCACTGTCTGGGA